GTAGTCTTTATTTACAGCAAAACCGACACCAAACTGGTGTGAGTCATTTTTTCCTTTAAAATAAATTGTATAATCATTTATTTTTACTTGGCCTGTACCAGTCCACCTCACTTCTTGAAGTGCTGCAATTGTGACATTGTACTCTTTCAGTACATCAGCTAGATTCTGACAAGCTCCAGTGCGATATAGGCTTAGCGTGTTCCAAGTCGCAATCTTTATCTCCTTACATTTCCGTTTTCCATTTCCAGAAGGGATTCCAGGTAATACGTGTATCCGAGGCTTAGTTGATGGTGGTTTCTTAACAGTAGTTTTTTTATTGGGACGGGTTGTTAGCCCGTCGCCAAACCCCCAACCTGGGGGACCAGACCACATCGACCTTTCAGGTCGTTGTGGTGGCTATTGCAGTGCATCATGCGATGTACTGGGCGATGGGGGCGCCACTTTCCCTACGCCGGCAAACATAAAGCATAGAGTATTTTAATACAATTTTTTGAGGAAATCACTAAAGCAGCGAATAGCTTAGATTTTGTACTTAAAATACCTTGAAGAACAAATCATCAGAGAAAATGATCAAATCATACCTGTTCATCAAATGATTCTATCGAAGATTATTACAGAGTATCCATATATGTATACCATATTTAAACTCTATTATTAGCAGTGGTGTACCTATAGGAGAGGGGGCAACAGGGCATTTGCACACTTCCCCGAGACGTTTTTTATGGCATAATGCAAATTAATTGTTCAACTTAAATAATGTAAATTATAAATATTTTTAATTTTCACTGATTATAATCGTATTTGATATCAAAAGTTTTTGATATCACTTATCAATGTAATATAAAATATCAATATTCGACCGAATTGGTATTAGGAGTGATGGTCACATATAGTTACTATTTTATAATGTGGTTATCATTGATATCAAGTGATCAACATGAGTTTTAAGTATTTAATAATAATTTATAATAAAGTTTCAGATTATATTAAAACCATAAAAAATTGTGCAATTAATTTATGCCCCTCCCCCAAAAAAAATGTTTCAAAGGTACGGCACTGATTATTAGCTCGTTAAATAATCGATTTCGTGAAAACAATGAGACTCCATTTAAATTATGTAGGTGGCTTCCAAATTAAACGGTTAAACTACAAAAAAATTGAATATATTAACATACTTTAGTATATTAAAAACCATTGTATGATTATCGGAAATTAAAATCATAATCATTTATAAATGATACAACGGTAGATTATAAAAATTTGTTAAAGGAGTGTGAATTTTTTCCTGCCGTCAAGAAATAAGTAATAAATATATTTGATGTTAAAAAAAGAAATTTACAATTTTTATTTGTAAATTAATATTTTGATGAATATAATTAATGTTTTAAGTGTCCAATTTATATTAATAATTAAATAAAAATGTCAATAAATTACTTTTGTCGTTAGTTGGTTAAATAATAATTATTTTATAATTTTTCAGTTTGATTATATAATGTACCTTATTGTATAATGTAAAATTGTAAACCCCTTCTTTTCTCGTGGTCATTTTTAATTATAAATGGATTGATAAATTAATATGTTCCCCCCCTCTTGAGGATTTTCCTATGGGCGCTCTTGCTAGCTACTGTATAAACAACCTATTGAGATGGTTAAATAATTTTGCAAATTGAAAACTGTAGCATTTAAAAAACGATTAATTAGCGATAACATAAGCGAGTAAATTTTGATTTCTTATAAAATCAGTACAAAACTGCTAAGCACTAGATTTAAAAATGCTAAATAAATCAAGAATTGTTCTCATTTAATTTTTAATACTTGTAAGATTGTTATAACATAGTTGAATTATAAAATTAACCAATTTGTATTTAATTAATTTTAGATTTTATACAAATTGAAATTTTTTTGATTTACATTGAATGTAACTGGAATGACATGATTTGTTTCAAATATTTAATAAAAATTATAATCTTCAAGATTGTTATTTTTCTTAATCAGTAAAAACCATTACTTAATATATGCTTAAATTAATACATAAATTCATCTCGTTTTTCCCAACATAAATTTTACTATATATTTATATTTATTTTCACATAATTTAGCATTTTTATTTACTATTAATTTATTTTTATTTTTATAGCATTTAAGGAGAAATAGCTTTTTAAGTAAAAGCAACTAAATAATATTATATATGGTAGAAAAAATAGATGAAGCGTAAAATAAAGAAATAAGATGAAACATCTATAATTCTAATAATCATCACGAAATTCGGCCAAGTTTTTTTTGGTATCATATGCACTTGAAAATAGTCAACATTCTCTGTGCTATAACGTTTTGAGAAAATTTCTCTGTAATTTTTTTATCGCTTTTATTTATTCATTGTTTACTAGGCTGTTGGAAATTCGATTATTAGGTCAAATCAATCCATCAATATAGGCTTATAATTAATATTATTAATATTATTTCGAACGACTATCGTAAAGTCATCATAATTTATTGGTCTATGCCTTTCTCTCTCACTCACTCTTTGATCGCATAGCGTGATTATAAAAGTAGTATATGTTTTAAGTAGGTTGCGTTTTTTAACCTTGTCACAACCACAAAAAGTAACAAATATATATATATATATATTCTACAGGTAGAAACTATATATGTAACCAACATGAATATAAATATTAATTCGATTATTAAACAAGATTGTCCACGTTTTTATAATATCTTACGTGCAAATTTTTTTTAATTTATGATACCAACAAGAACTTTTTATTTATTACATTTTATTTATTTTCTAAGCCAATTAGTTCTCCATTCTACTATAATTATTTAATCTAAAAGAGTATAAACCATAGACCATTGAGATCTTAGACATCAACTAAATATTTGGGAGAATTACATTCGGGCAAAATTAAAATTTGTTCAAAAACATCCATTATGAAAATCATCAGTTTCCGCTGATGAGTTTCATTGGACGATTTAAAATTCACCAAATCATACAGCATGAAATTCACACGAATTCTAAAACACTTATTACTATTGCAGTTGTGACAATTTCTTTGTAAATCATTCCGTGTTGTTACTTGTTAGTATTATTTGTTATTGCGTTTCAAGATCATTGTCAATCATCATGACGGAGCCATAATAGAAAATTGTATTCACCGTTATAATATATTCTACGAGAATAAACAGTATCTTGTTACTGTCCTTATATATATAATAAAATTTATATCCGCATTAACTTTAACCAATAATTTTTTTTCTACACTCCGCAGGTGTACGTTAACGGGTCGTCAGAGAATGTAAGTTTACGATCAAGACCATTCCACGTGAATGTGCAGTTATAGCGATGTGTATCAGCTATGGACGCGTGCACTCAAGACGGCAATAATGTATAGTATACCGAATAGGTACGTGTCGCCAAATGATAAATCAGTAAATGCACGCGATAAATCGAGAAACGCTAAACGGGCAGAATACATATTTTATAGACAAACAATTAATGTGCATCAGCGTTTGTCTAGTAAATATTTTCTACGAGATTACGGAGAGAGAAAGAGAGAGAGAGAAGGCGATATAGGAAATATCTGAAAGATACAGCTTCTGTTTATGTTTCAGCATAACATACGTGACCTTCGTCCAGTGTACGTAATTACGAACTGTTCATCTCGACTATTTTGTGGAAATTAAGCGGTGGCGTTCTCATAGCGGTCACGAAGGTATTGAGCCGAAACTGTGTAAATCTTTATCTTGTAGTGCGGCCGAAACCCTACGTAGCTCGATGCCAATACACTGCAGTGTCCACGGTAACCGTCCGAGCATAAATCACTGGCCGCGCGTCTCGTCGCCAAACCGTTATCGAAATATATGATGATCGGTAGCTATCGATCAGTGTTATCCGACTTGTTATTTGTCGAATGCGATTTTCACCATGATACGTGAACGTCTGTATTAGTACGGAGTACGGGCCTAATCGCTACCACGCGTACGACACCGTCGCATACAACTGCGCGTTATAATAACGAAACAAATTTGAAATATACTTTTACCAGGCGCAGTGGCGGTTACCGAAGCAATTGTCGATTAACACATTTTTTTTATGGTGCCGTATAATACATTTACAAACGTGCGGTATAATAATGATGCAGTGTATTGCTCACTGTGTGCATGTATGTAATGAAAATAGTTTTATTAATGCGCACACGCCATACATACTGGTTTATCGGAAATGCAAACGTGACACGTAGTCGTACACATTATTGTAATGTGCAGTAAGCGAAAATCTCGTTTTCGGTAACGTCCGCGACGACGGTGCGTGCGAGAAACCGGGGGACGCGGAAAAAGGGGAAACGGGTTGACATGCAAACATATTCGTGAAATCGGGAAGATTATCGAAAGTATGACGTGCGCAAAGAGAAATGGAAACGAAACAGGAAAAATAAAATAACACTCACTGTACAGCGAGGCAGCAAAGTCCAGAAATTCGACGGTGTGCTGAACCGGCGGCGACGGCTTCACGTATTCATCCACGATCTCGTTGTCCTGCAACCGGTCGCCGTGATTTTCGTCCTTTGAGACGAACCTCTGCGGCTGCCATCGGGCCAACCACTCAGCCGTGGACGTAGTCGTCGCAGCCGTGGCCACAAACAGTGGCCACCCGATGGACAGAGACAGCAGTAGCAGCACACCGACGACTTGGGCAGGGTACGCGGCGCACTTTGTCCGTCCCATGTCCTGCTACCACCGACGGCGGCAATCAAGGTCATAGTTCACATCGGTCCTGCAGGGGCACTGCGGAGATCACATCGGGTTGGTCGACTGTATTCGGTTTGCGAATGCTGCAACGTACTGCTGCGTATGCAAACGGGTTTCCGACCGGAACTTCCGACGCGCAAATAGCTGTTAGAGTATATTTGAAAGACGCAATTGATACGCACGTGTGTCACCGGACAAAACGGTTTTTTAATTATTGTTTATTGTTTTCGTGCATTATAATTATTGATTTCCGGAGGTGTCCGGCTCGTATGTAATGTCGGACGCGATTATTATATTATTTTTTTTATCGTTTCGTCAAATCGCGTAAGAGTCGCGTGATCGGCGGTACCGGTACGACTGGACTGGACCGGTGTCTTCGGCGACGGTCGATTTAAAAAACCGCCCATTGCACTTTCACTGCGACGCGCGCGACGGTGGCATTCGCTGGAATCGCGATTGCAGTTTCTGCGTTGTTTCGGTTTTATTTTCTTTCAAGCGTTTTCGGTATTCTCGACCCCGAACGCGCGCGCGCGAACAACGGCAAAAGCGATTTTGTTCTTTTTCTACTCTTGCGCGGCTGCTCCTACGCACGTGCGCCGTTCTTCCACATTGTTCTTGCCCCCCGGTTAGTCTGCCGTTTATAGGTCATGTTTAAAGCTACAGGTCCACGCGCGCGTAAGTATTGCGCCGCGCACGCGCTCGATTTCCGTTTTTCCGGTAGACGCGCGAGCGAAACGATGCGCAAAACGTAATTCGACTCGGGCTCGTGTCGCGCGTACAACACGTTGGTTTCGCCCTAGAGCTGATGTACGCGTCCCCAAAACCAGCCGGTTACGATTCACGCGCGGGCGTACGAAAATCCGTGACCCGGGGGTTGAACATGTATAGCGTGTATCGCGACGATAGAGACATCGCCGCGTCGTCCGGAAGACGTTTCCCGGCAGCAGCGGCACACTCCCATCCCGAGCGCCACTGATCTCGTGACGATCGTTGCAAGGCGTACCCCGTGAGGTGACCGTAAGTTGCGTCCCAATGCACCTTTTTGACGTAAATTACGTCCCTAAACATGTCATCAACTGCTTTTCGTTTTAAATCGTTACTAATTTTTTGTCTAGTAACAATATTTTCTGGTAATGCTCATTGGTTATGTTCATTAAAAATTTCAATTTCAGTATTAATAAGACTATTTAACTTTACAAAGCACTTACACGTACTAAAGCAACACCAACGTTCAACATAATTTATTAAAAACTTGTGAAAACGAAACTTACGACTAGCAATCACTTTTAATGATTTTATTTTTTTCGTTATTTATCACGTTCATTTTCAAAAATCTCCTCGGATTTACGGATTTTCTGTCGGACGCAATTAACGTGTACATGAGAGAAACACAGGCCGCAACTTACATATGTTGTTATTAAAACCTTTTTTTTGGGATACAACTTACATTTACCGACCCCGTGAGCCGTAATGGCTCGGTCACATCGTCATTGTAACCGCACCTGTTGCTGTAATCGATCATCACCAGCATTTCAGGTTCAAACGGTTTTCTGGAACGGTAAACGGGTTGCATCGGTAAGTCGTTTCTTCCGTCACCTATTGCGCGCAGTGGCGTAGCCAGGATTTTTGAATGGGAGGGTCGAGGAGGAATTCTTAGGCAGGTCAGGTTAGAAGAGAATTTGTGAGTTCACCCTTCACCCCTATACCCACAACCACCATTACCAACAGTTTATAAATGTGTTTCCGGCATTTTAAAACAGTTTTATTAGTATGTATTTATTAAAATATAATTTATAATAATGATAAATCAACGATGGTCAGTTGCGGATATAATATTTAAAAATATATTTAATATAAACCACGACATAATACGATATGAAAACTATAGTGATAATACAAAAGTTGCGTTGGACGAGAGTAACCGCAACCTTCATGATCACCACTAAAAAGGTAGGGATAATCACGGCAGAAGTAATACGCTTATGTACAAACACCCTTTATTCGTCAAAATTTAGTTAATACCAAAGTTTTGAAATACTTAAATACCAAATAGAAAAGGACTAGTATAGCACATGCACACAAACACGACCTAAAAGGGACCTCCCTTTAGGTGTCATAGCCCTCTTAGTCCCCCCTTGGCTATGCTACTGAAGAGACACGTATATATTTTCTATCAGCTACAGTGTTGGGAATAGATAATGCAAAATTTATCTAGATAAAAATGAAAAATAATATTTCCAAATTCATCTAGATAAAGATAATAGATAAAAGAAAATTAAAATATCTAGTTAAAGATAAAAGATAATTTCATTTTTATCTAGATAAAAAAAAAGATATTTTCAAAAAAATGTTATTTTTTGGTCAATATTTCATATTCTAATAATATTTATGAATACTCAATTATAATCATTATTATCAATAGGTACCTAGATGTTTAATGTTTATTATAGTAATGTAGTGTACCATTAAGCAGTATTTATTTATAATGTACAATATTTAATGATAGTTAATCACTAAAATGTTACACAAAAAAAAAAATAAAAATAAAAATTGCCCTGTACGTATCAGGATGAATACAGAATACATAAAGTTAACAATATTGTTTTCTATATAATATTAATTTGATGATTTTCATTATGCTATAAGTAGTTATGACTTTACGGGTTCCAAGAATGAAGTAATGACTATTCAGCGTATGAGTGACATGTGTATACTAAAATCAAATACCTACTATATTTGGAACTTCCATGGAAAAATAAGAAATAAAGTTTAAAAATAACAAAAATATTTTCCCGACATGAAAATACTAACAAAATGTCATATCAAGAAATAATAATTACTTATTAATAATACACGAATTATGATTATGAATACAAAACCTTATGTATAAAAGGAAGTCAGGTTAGTTACAGAATTTATAATTCAAGAACAGCTAGACCGATTTTGATGATCTCTGATTTGTTGGATTCGTCTCTGTACAAGAATAAAAATAACTCTAATCTTGGCAAGAATACGGACAATTATCTAAATAAAATTATCTAGATAAGTAAACATTTTATCTTAAATAAGTAAGTAGATAACCTACCGTTATTTATCTAGATAAGATAAAAGATGACAAAAAATCTATCTAGATAAGTCCCAACACTGATCAGCTAAATGCCTGGCGATCGGTAAAACTTTATCGTCAATGACCCCCACAATACTATCACCACCACAAGTGCGTGTGCCAACGTCGACAGCTGGAAACAGCGGTGGACAACGCGCGCGCGAATTTATTACTATCCCATAGCCTCGCGAAGAGAACAAGAACGCATCGTCTAGAATAGTAAACGTTGCTGATGAAATGTTAGCGTTTCGGTTTTACAGAAATAGAAAATTATAACTTGTTAATAAAAGATATAATGTGCACCGAATAGTTAATAATATTCGTTCGCAGTGGATTTTAAGTTTGTATATAAAATTATTTATAACGTGTGTAATGAGTGATAAATTGTATGTTCATACATAATCATATAGTGACTACCGTCATTACGACGTGTTATGTAATACTATATGGATGGTTAATTTGTTTTTTATCGAGTTCGAATAGAAATTCGTGTTCAAGGTAAAACGAAAGTCAATGTTCGAACGTTAGAAAATATGATATATTAATCTGCAGCGGTAGGAAGCTTTGAGGTAATTACGGGAACTGGTTGTACACAATGTATACGACGGTAGAACCGAATGTGCATTTTCAATTGCAGTTATCCGCAAAATCACGTACATCGCAGCATGTGCAAAAACGAATCTATAACACCGGAATTGTATTTTAATGGTCTTTTATTTTTTTTTTCTATTATGGTATTCGTTTTTTATTTTATTATTACTAACATAGTGTAAAGAGTTTTTTATTTTAATTTTAATGCCACACGATTAACTTGTTTAGCAAAAAAATAAAACTATAAAAATGATTTTAAAAAAAAGTGAATTCGTAAATCTGTCGACAATGTTTGTCACGCGCAGATCATAATTAGAAACTTAAGATCTGGTGGTATTTAAAACCAAAACATTAAAGATTTTAAATGAGGTTTATATGTCACAGGATGACGTCGATTAATTAATACGGTTTAAAATAATAAAAACGTTTTTAATAATTGTTGTTTAGTAGATTGTAGCAAAGTTTTTCACAAGATTAATATTTATAATTAGCCGAAAAATAATCAAACATAACATGTATAGTCCAATAATCACAACAAATGTTCGAGTGTTTAATTTTGTTAGTGTGTCAATGATGAGTTCGATAATATATCCGTTACGTTTTAAAATTTCGTTATACGCATAACTGGTATAACGTTTTCCTAAGGATACGACACAGCGACTGCACGTATAATATAAGTATGTGTTCAGTATTAAAGTCACAATTCTATGTATCAATTTTGTATTTATCATACAAGGCGAGAAACCGATAAAAGGACACGGGCATTAAGGTGCGTATTCAATTTTCTTGTCCACCCTATATACTCGTCATTAATTGCATGTATATTTGACAACTGTATAGAATGTCGACTATGTTTTGCAGTGGTTTGATAAATAAAATTTGTATGTAATGACTGTTGAAAAATAAATCCATCGAGGTAAAAAATAATTTAAAGCGTACTAAATTTAAATCGTTTTCCACGTAGGTACTTAATTAATTACTTTATAAATGCGATTACTGATTTATATTTTTAACGTATATCTATTCTGTTTAATAAGTAGCGTAATATAATAGGTAGTTAAGTGTTTTATAGTATTGCAGATTATGAATGGTTTGTGAATAGACGGTTTTAAAAGTATGTCAATTTTTCGGACCAATAAAACTAATAAAACAGTTTAGATTTTGCTTATCTACATGTACTTACCATTTACATTTACTGAAGATTATTATTATTTTAAACTCATAGAAAATGAATATAACTTAATCGTATTATAGTAGACTCCGTTTTATTGAGACACATCAGTCACTTGTTATTTTGTCCTGATAAAACACTTATCACCATAATACGAAAAAAAGAAAGTAAAATTTTATTCGTAATGTATGACTACGATTTTATTAATAAGGAAAAAAAATAATTGTTTAATATTTAAAACCAAAAATAATAATCAATTGTCGTTTGATTATTAATTTTCATTGATTGCTGACGTGATGTGTGATTTAACACTCATCACTAGGGTTAGGATTTATATGCAATAAAAAATTGTATAATATACATTATATTTATCAAAATATGCAAAAATATGCAAAAATATGCAAAAACAATTTTTTATTATTTCTAGAATTATTATTTATCATGAATGTTATTATTACATTAAATATTAGTTTATACTAATATAGTTTATAAGTCGCACTAATGAAATGAAATACTTCTTTACTGTATCACAATCAGGGACGGCACGAGGGGCTGGGCAATAGGGGCAGTTACCCAAGACCTTAAATTATAATTAAGGCCACGAGGTTCTGATTTAACTGAACTTAAAATATTTTATTAATATAAATTATAAGACCCAACATTTATTTTGCCCAGAGCCTCGCAAACTCTAGCACCGTCACTGAACACAATATAAGTACTAGATACTCGCATGAGCCAGCCCCTTAAAATTTAAATCCAGGCCGAGTAGGGCTTTATTTAAATGAAACACAGACCCCGGGCTGGGCTTTTAAATTCTTAAATTTATTACGGTTTGGGCCGAGATTTTTCAGAATGTAAAAACTTGTACAAAAATTCAATTTTACTGATAAAATATTCCTTAGGGCCAAACCAGGCTTTGAAAAATATCTTTAAAGCTTTAGACCCGTTTCACAGCCGAACGTTCATACGTGGCGTTTTTTTAATTGGCATTGTTTAATTTCATGTGTGCCAATCGAAAAAACCCATATGCAAGGCCGTACCTAGACATTTTTTTCGAGGGGGAGGGGGGGTCCAAAATATGTATATTGTAATTTTATTGAATTTAGATTTTGACTTTTGATATTTGGTTAAAAATAAAACTTATTAGTCTTCTTTTATTAAAATATATTAAAATCAAATAAACAAAATTAATTTGACATCTTGTCACGTCAGATTTCTATAAACTACGCGCGTTGGTTAGAAGTCTGTGGTATATTAGACGCTATAAAAATATCTAAAAACAGTCAATGATTAATTGGAGCTTCAGTCATTTTTGACTGAAAACATTTAAGTTAGTATTATAAATAAATAATTATTTTAAATATTTATAAAATATTGAAGAAATTTCGGGGGGTCCAGGTACCCTGGACCTCCCCCTCCAGATATAGCCTTGCCCATATGCACCCTTGTCAGTTCAGCGCATATTAATTTAAATAATGTAATTCGAAAACGTGACAGACGATACGCGCGGCTTTAATACAAGCCTTATACGTCAGTAGAAAGTCCGTACGGGACCGGGCCTAACATTTTTGGCACGTGCAGACCTCTAATAAGTGCATCGTAAAATAATGTGTGGATAATTTTATCTGTCGTCCGACCAAGATAAGATTATATATACGTAGTATATTTACGACGATTCGAAAAATAATCGTTCATTAGATAAATATCATTTTAAATTAACAATAACTTAAAAATAATCAAATAAACTAAAAATTTTAAGTTAAGAAATTAACAAGATTCTCAAAAACCTATAAATATGTAATTATATGCATTATGTTCAAAATATGCAAAATAAAAACGGTTCTATTTAATCGACAATAATATTGACATACAGAAAACCAATCAATTTGGACTCGAAAAAAAAAACATGCAAATCCATATAAATCCTAATATAGCCCTACTTATCACATCAGAACATAAACGCACCAAAGTGATATATTTGTATACAGTTGAGGCTAACAACAATTTTGATTTATTGTTTGTAGAAGGACTTCTTTCGTAAAAGAAGTAGTCACACGTTGTCTTACTTAGAATAAAATTAGTGTACGTTCATTCCATTCAATAATTATCAGTTAAGCAGAGAGTAAGAGTGTAAGCATTTATCTATATTCCGCGAGATGTGATATTATGTTTAACTATATATATATGTAACTTTAATTTATCCGATTATCTACATTAATAACAATCTCTATTGAAGGTTATACCAGTTATATTATGTAAGACTATCGAAATGTTTTTAAACGATTACTTACCATTGGACGTTAAAAAAATGCTCCTTAAAATCAACGAATTATCTTTGTATTTACTAGACATATTTAAACGTGGTAAATAATTATGTATAATAGTATGCGTATTTTATTACAGGAAATGAAATATAAACCATCGAAAACTTGTTCGTTTACCAAAATAGCAACCGCGATTATATTTATGTTCACTACGCTGCATGGCGCTAACCACTAACCAGTTACGATGTTCACGTCGGCATTTACCGCGGTTAATTATTTATATTACTTTTAAAGGTTACATGATATAATTAAAAAACTGGTTTCTTTCAAAATGTATAATATTAGCAATTAGTGCACGTTTCGTGTTGTAAAAATAATAATAACGAAGTTGAATAAATGTAATAGTAATGTTAATGTTTTGAAACAGCACGTGCCGTGTATTATACTTTACGTTACATCACGATCGTCGAAACAAAAGTGAGTTTACCTCTAAACGTCAAAACATGTACAACAATTATTCACAGAGTGTCCCGAAAATTTCATGCGTCGCGACCGTATCAAAATTCGCGGTCGGTCATTGTTTAAGCGCATACGTTAACTCATGGCCGTATCCAGCCATTATTTTTGGGGGGGGTTTTCAATTTAAGATGAAACTAAAACATGATTTTTAGAATTTTAACCAATTCAAACCATATTAGTTTTTAGGTTTAAAAATGTACTTATATTATTCACCATATTATATAATATACATTCTGCTTTAATACTTACTACTCGTAAGGTATTTCAATTGACAACCACATTTTACATGTAAATATTTTTATAGTTATATAATTATAATTAGAGTAAGTATATTTAATAATTATTAAAACATGTAACTTACATTTTTTAATTTGACAATTTATAGGATTATTGATTTTAAAGTAACATTATTTTTCTTGATGATTTTGAAAACTGAGTAAGTACCTCTTCTGGATCAACATTGATGTCCCGGTGAACTGACATTAAAGCCAATCCATTGAGGCGTGTTTCACCAGTCGAATTTCTGAGATACGTTTTCAATCTTTTTAAAGATGAAAATGTTCTTTCTGGTGTCGCTGTTGACATAGGCATAGTAACTAAGACTTGTAGAAGTTTCCTTATGTTAGGAAATAAAAGAGGGTTACAATTGTCAATTCCTGCAATTGCTGTTTTTGGGCGAGATCCTTCTTTTAGCCACTTTGTCTTCCATATTGCAAATTCAGCTTTGAAAGCATTAGGCTCAATCAATATCTGAGAATAAAAGTTTACACAGTCGTTTATTTCTTCATTGGTAGCGATTATACATTTACTTGGAATGATTTGTTGTAATGAACTTATTAAAGATTTGTGTTTCTGAAATCTATCACAAAGCTGTGATCTGATATAGTCGAGAAATGGCAAAAAAATATTAAAATTGTAATACTCTTCAGAGCTATGAGAGGGCACATTACTACGGTGTGTTTGTTTATTAGCGATACGAGGCAAAACAATGTCTTCTTTATTTTTATTCAACATGATGGCAACAACAGAAAACAGGTCTGAAAAATGTTGTTTGTTATTTTCTCTCATTTCGTCTAATACGGCTAACACATCATCAACATGATTGCATGCTTCGACTAAATCAGCATTAATTGTCTGTAGCTGTTTACACAATGTCAATGTATACGAAAAAATATTTTCAATTATTACGAGAGGTATAACAAATTTAGCGTCTTTAATTGTACTTAATAACTGACAAGACTTTTGAGCAGTTTCTTTATTTATTGATGACTCCAATTTTTCCAATGCAACAATAATAGCGGGATATAGTTCTTTGAACCGCATGACACTTTCATGCTTATAAACCCAACGAGTTTCACATAATGCAACTAATGTGGTATGCCTTGTCTCTGAAAGAGTTTCGATAATAGTTGTTCTCAATAATTCACTTCTTTGAGCCGATGAGCGAAAAAATGTTCCAACAGTTTGAATGGTGCTAATACAGTTTCTTATTGAGGGCAATGAACAAGCGTTGGCCAACGCCAGATTTAGCCAGTGAGCACTGGAATGTACATAAAGTGCCTGGGGAAAATCTTTTTTTATGTATTCTTGAGCACCATGTAAATATCCACTCATGGCAGAGGCTCCATCGTAACCTTGTCCAACTAAAAATTGACAATGTATACTGTTCTTCTGTAAACACCCCATTATCAAAGTTGCTAGTCCTTTTCCACTACGATCAACAGCCGGTGTAAATTCTAAAAAATCTTCTCGAATTTTTTTATCTTTTTGGTCATAATAACGCAAACATACAGACATTTGTTCAATTCTTCCAATATCTGTAGTTTCGTCCGCTAACACAGAAAAGCACTCGGCAGCATTTACTATTTGGACAATTTTTGACTTGATTATTTCACCACAAATAGAAATTATGTCATTTTGAATACCAGGACTAGTATATAAAGAATTTCTTGGACCATTTTTCAAATGTTCTCCTAGCATAGTGTCACCTGAATCTACACGAAACCGTAAAAGAGCTCTAAAATTTCCGTCATTAAAATCATTTATGTTCATTACATTTCCATAATTGTTTGATCCACGAAAAGCAATTTCTTGCCTACTACAAAGAATTATGATTTTTATAATAGAAAGTAAATTTTTTCTATTTTGTTCAATCTGTCTAGAACGTTGAAATTTTTTTTTTGTGGTATTTTTTTAAATATTTTTTTAAAAAGGTATTTTTTTGTGACATTAATTTTCTTACACGAAAAATTACAATAATTACAAGATGTGCTACATAATATTATACATATCAAAATAAAATAAATAAATAAAATAAAAGATTAAAATAAATAGGATTGATAAATGATAATATGTATAATTAAAGTTGGGCGTTAATGCATAACTTGCACACTGAATAAACACCACTGATATCTATAATATAGAGACTATGCAGGTACATATTTACATTAACTGTCCAACATATAAACTGGTATAAAATAAATGAGCTATGATATTTTATAAATAATATAACTCTAAAACTATTAAATAAAAAAAATGGTAGTAAATATACTTACGGAATTCAGATCAATAGAAACGTTTAACAGCAATGTTTACGGCGCACCGCCATGGTGTGTTGTATGACGAGAATCCAAAAGAAAAATGATTCGGTAATCGGTTATCCGAATTAGTTCTAATCGAGTTGAAATTAAACATCGACGATTATTCTAATAAGGTATGTACACTATCAAAATTTGAAGAATACTAAAAATAACTACGTAAATACTCTGGTGCGTCCATATGAACAGCCAAAGCTATGGGCAGGCGACAACGATAACGTCAGTCGTGATCTTATCTCATTGTATACATAGTTTTACCCGTCGTAAAGCAGTGCACTGTTTTAAATTCATTTTTTGCGCGTAGACATTCTCGTAGACAATTCTATTTTATTTACACAATAATAATACATCTGGGATAATAATTTACCTTATGTGCGACTTAGACGATGGATTAAGAAACACTTTTCTATTGAATTTCAATTGAATACAGAAAAAAAACATCAAGTGAATAGGCAAAAAAAAAAATGCTGAACAAATTTTGGGGGGGGTTTGAACCCGGAAAACCCTCCCCCTGAATACGGCCATGCGTTAACTCGATGGTTCGACATCACGGTAATGTCGGTATGATTTTTTGTTCTTCGCGCGCGCGTCGCGTACACCTTACCTTATAACATGTGCAATGCACATACGTGTGTACATTGTGTACCTACCGAATGACCCACTTGTCGCACATAATATTATGTCGATGGCACACCGTTTTGCGAACAATCCGTGACGATACATGTACATTACAATAAGTGTATTATTTATTTATAAACGATCCGCGTTCGACTTCTCCGCAGCTCTACTTATGTCATTTTTTCATTCGTTTATATTTTTTTTTGCACCTCGTAGAACGCAGTTCTTCAGTTAACTGCACGGCTATACAGCCGCGCATAATGTCAAGGTTGTTAACGTATACTATATTCACATGTATAGGTACCTACATACATGACGGGAAACTGGATTTTACTTTTTATCGTAAGAACCTAATCGGAGCGAAGCGAGATGCCGTCTCTCTGATTATTATCATTTTTATCATAATATTTCACGCCTTATAAATTGCTGTTTTTTTTTTTATTTCTAGCTTTTTACGTTCAATAACATAATGTTCTATAATCCGTGTTTTTGAATTTCTGCACGATTCATATTTTAAAGTAAAATTAATATTGATTTGTCAGCTGTCCGTTCACCTGAGTGTAATTACATCCGTTAATATCCACATTTATAGCCTTTATTAATCAGTTTCGAAAGAACGTCGTTCGTGAACGCTCGTTCATATTTTTAATGAATTTGAACGATTTTTGAGGCGTTTGAATATATTTACCATTTTAAAAATATATGTATAAATACAAGTAATAAATATTAATTGTAATATGTTTAAGTATAGGTTAAATTAAAATATATCTAATACATTTTGTAAAGGTACCATTCATACAGAATGCAGGTTAGTGATTTATAAATATAAAATAAAAAAATTTAAATGAACAGTCGAATAACGCTTTCGTTTTTTCATAGAATTTGAATGTGAACCAGTTTAATTTTGAAGTGAACACTGTTATTATTTGGAAAAAAAAACATGATTAGTAATTATTAATATCTTAACTTTCGAGTCATAGGGCAGACAAATGCAAGTATAGAGTATTACAAACGTGAAACCAAAGACAAACTGTATATTATGAAGTGTATTTATTGAATCTGGCATTTCTTCGTCATTTACGCAAAGATTGGAAAATCATTTTCATATTGACAAAAACTAAATATACTATCGATTGTGATTAATGATTGACATACCTACTACATTGAAACAATATAGATTATTATTAATATCCCTTGAAATTTATCAATTTAAAACATGATGATATTACTGGTATTATCTACTGACCTAAAAATGATTTTAAGACTTTAAAGATTATAAACTAATATAATTTCTATAATATTACAATATTCACTACTTACTGTTAATTGTTTACAAGTAGTTTAAACAAACGTACAGAAATGTCAGTACTAAAAATATTATGATCTAAAACAGCAATTATAAAATGGGGGGAGGGGGTTGCCAACAATCTTTTTAGGGTCGTCAAGTTATAAAATAACTAATAAGGTGTTTTTTGTAAATATCATTATGATAATCATTGTTGAGAATTTCAATTGATAAAAGTTTAGTATTGCCAGTAAAAACATTATGTTAATCATATTAATTATATTACTTTATCATTACACATTACTTTTTAATGTTATCATAATAAAAGAATCATTCAAAATCTTGGGTCGCGGTCTCAAAAAGATTGAGAACCGCTAGTCCATAGAATGTCTGTAATTTTGAATAGTTTGAAAATATTTTTTTGAATGATGTATCGAATCCTTGAATTATCTTATATTTTTCACCAAAAAAATGTTCAACAATGAAAATTTGAAAAAAAAACAATATTAACTGCCATTTGTTCAATAATTGCTATACTATTATTAGTATAAGTACCATTGTTATTTTAAATTTCGCTATTTTTTCTAGCTATTATCGTTCAAGGATACTTTTTTCAAAATAGTTCGTTGGCTCCTCATTAGTTTTAGTTGATGAATTATTTAAATTTTTTTCACGTTCAATTATCATTACATTTTTATCACATTTAGTTAATAGTTACTTAATTTTGTTTACTTAAAACCAAAATTATTATATAATGTTATCATACAATTAAATTGCACTAAAAGCTTGTGAAATAATTTTAATCCTGTTAAAATAAAAAATAAATAATGTTATATATATTAATATTAAACTACTCGTAAATAATTCAGTTACGTATTTTAAACACAAAGTGTAATGGATAAAATAGTCACATAAAAATAATGCAAAAAATAGTATTATAAGTTATGATAGTTAATAATATACATGTAGGTAAGTTAAATAATTGTGAAAATGTAAAACTCATTCGTTAAAAATTATATTGAGTATAATATACTTTATATCATGTACTCGTGTGATTATGCAGACAGTGCAGCACAATATTATTTTATGCGATTAGTTAAAAGATGTGAAGTTTGAGAGCTGTGCATTGCATATGTATATACATAGTAAATAGATATAGTGATGGAAAATAAACCTAAATTGTTTTAGGTCAATGAAAAAAAAGAAAATGTTCACGGTTTTCAATTTTTATTGTGATAAATGTTGCAATTAATCTGTAATCTTATACATATAATGCACGAGTATACATTTATTTTTTCTTGATCGTCCTTACAAAACTTCGAAAAATATTCAAAAAAAA